TGCCCCGGCGGGAAATTCCCCCCGTACGGGAGAGGGGGGGGGGGGGGGTTCCTCCGCACACCACAATGCGTGGGGCCTTCTCTGTCGGCTCTGGCATGCGGCAGTATATTTAGCAGTGATGTGGGACTAAAACAGTAAGTTAGAACTGCTGGACGTTTTCCAGAAAAAAAGAAGTTTTGAACCTACCTGAAGGACCGCCTTTCCCCGTATGTTTCCCCAAGAGCACTACGGTCAGGGGCCCAAAATTTATTAGTCATCCCGGGCCCCAAGGATGTCAAACTAGCCGCCACGAGGACCAGGGCCTTTTCGGTGGCGGCTCCTACCTGGTGGAATGAGCTCCCGGAGGAGATCAGGGCCCTGCAGGACCTTATGAAGTTCCGCAGGGCCTGCAAGACGGAGCTCTTCCGCCAGGCTTTCGAGTAGGAGCCGCCGCCCCTACTATAACACCACCACCCTGAGGTCCCGATTAAACATCTACTATGGAAGAATCCTTCTGCCGTCTTCGTGGGATTTTGGACATTTGATCCGCCATTTTTTAGATTATGAATGGCACTGAGCACTTTGTTATTAGATTTTAATATGTAGTATATGTTTTAAATTGTTTTGTATATATTGTTTTATCATGGCAAGCTGTTCTTGCCTCTGTGAGCCGCCCTGAGCCCATTGGGGAGGGCGGGGTATAAGTACGAAAAATAAATAAATAAACTGTGTAGTCAGAACGCTGTCAAAGGAAGCAATCCGGCAGTGTTCAGTTCCTTAAAAATAGAACTGCTGTCCTTTAGACCTGTGTGTGAGGGACCTCCCCTGAAGGAATCCTGCAGAGAACAGGCTGTTCTTTCCTTAGCGGTGAGGGGGAATGGTACTCTGTACATGCCCAGAGGTATAGCATATAATATTTATACTTTTCTGAAGCAGAGACCTGCCAAAAAGATTGGCATGGGGAATGTGTGTGTGTGCGTCTAACAATATACACATCAAAATGGGTAGCCGTGTTAGTCCGTAGCAGTAGAAAAGAGCAAGAGTCCAGTAGCATCTTAAAGACTAACCAAATTTGTGGCAGGGGAGGCGCTGTCATGAGTCTCTGCTCACTTCTTCAGTATACACATCAGCGATGCTCCCTCTAAGCTGTGGAGTCTTGTGAGCAAGAATTCTATCTTGTGAGCTGCTGGCATTAAAGTTGTGAGCGAGCGATTTGGCTACTGCCTAAATTAGTTTGCTCTGGAGCCCTCCTTCCTGAGCGGAGACAAAAATGTGTGAGCTGGAGGCTAAAAAACTGTGAGCTAGCTCACACAAACTCAGCTTGAAGGAACACTGCACATCAAGTCCAGTTAAAGAAGAGGGTGGGTGGATCCAAGACGAGGGTCAACAAGTATTTGCAAGAGATTTTTACTACTATTTTACTACTAGTAGTATGTTACTACTTTTACTACTACAGTTTTGGCCATCTGTTCACGTAGCATGGCAAAATCTGCCAGCCCCCCTCTTTTGCCATCAAGTCACAGCCGACTTACGGTGACCCCGGTAGGGTTTTAAAGGCAAGAGACAAACAGAGGGGGCTTGCCACTGCCTGCCTCTGCATAGCGACCCTGGACTTCCTGGGTGGTCTCCCTCCCAAGTACAAATCCGGGCTGACCCTGCTTAGTTTCCGAAATCTTACAAGATCAGGCTAGCCTGTCTGGGCCATCCAGATCAAGGAAGAGACGGACAAAGGTGGTTTATCATTGCCTGCCTCTGCGTAACAACCCTCGACTTCCTGGGTGGTCTCCCATCCGGGTACTCACCAGGGCTGAACCTGCTTAACTTCAGAGGTCTGATGAGATCATGGCTAGCCTGGTCCACCCAGGTCAGGGCAAGAGATGTCCAGAGGTAGTTTGCCATTGCCTGCCTCTGCGTAGCAACCCCGGACTTCCTTGGCGGTCTCCCATCCAAGTACTAACCAAGGCTGACCCCGCTTAGCTCCCGAGATCTGACGAGATCAGGCTAGCCTGGGCCACCCAGGTCAGGGCAGAGGCAAGCAGAGGTGGCTTGCCACTGCCCGCCTCTGCACAGCAACCCTGGACTTCCTTGGCGGTCTCCCATCCAAATACTGACCAGGGCCGACCCTGCTTAGCTTCCGAGATCTGATGGGATCTGGCTAGCCTGGGCCATCCAGGCCCTATTACCTTGCAGTCAGCAGCCTTGCAACTAATGGGCTGTTATGCTTAAAGGATACAGAACATCATACCCTGCATGGAAGGTTAGCGAGAGGAGCTACAGTAGCTGGGAAGACCTCTGATACTGAGGGCCGGCTTGGCGAAGGGGGGAGGAGGGCTCAGCCATTTGGAAGAAGGCTGCAGTGGAGCTGTTGCTGAGGGGGTGGGTCGCCGGCACAGGCAATGAACCCATGAAGCGGCTTCCTACTGAGTCCGGCCCTTGCTCTATCCAGGTCAGTATTGTCTGCTCTGACTGGCAGCCGCTGTGTAGGATCTCCTTTTTTTGTTTTTGTTTTTAAAATGGGGAATTTCACATTACCCAGTTTCACTCGGTTTCAAGCCAGCAATCATCCGTTTTGAAGTGAACCGGTACAGGGCTGCCATTTCACACAGGGCTTGCCCCTACCGGAAATGAGCCGGATCAGAAGCGGTTTGGCATTTCAGACTTGCACCGCTTTGTTTTCCCACCGTTTTCCTCCCGCGCGGGTGATCGAGCCGCTGTGTAGGATCTCCTTTTTTTTTTTTTTTGGTTTTTAAAATGTTTAAGATCAAGTATAACTTATAACATGTACAATAACTGCAAAACAGTATACAAAAGTCCTGAGAATCCAAAATTACGAACCAGCCAGTTAATCACCAACAAAGTTTTCAACATACATCAACAGTTACAACATAATAACATAATAATTTAGTATCAGATCCGTTCCGATATATAAAAACGACTTTTGAACTATGAATCCCACTGAATGGAGTCAGGTTTAAAATACCACAAGTTTGGGAGTCTGCTACTCTGAACAACAAGAGGATCTCCCATCACCGACTGCTTGATCCCCTTAACTGCAGGTGTCAGGGGTTCGGCCTGGGACCTTCTTCATGGAAAGCAGATGCTCTGCCGCTGAGCAGAAGTTGTGGGGATTGTTGTAGGGAAGGGTGGGCCCTTGGCTTTATGCAGACGTCAGCCCGTGGCCTAGAAAAATCCGGCTAGCCTCGCTCTGTTCCCCGGCTTTCAGAGTCTTGTATCCGAATGCCCGGAAACTTATCTCTCTCTCCCCCCCGCAATTCTCTCTCCAACCCTCCAGCTATCTGCGTGGACGGCACCTTCCACAAATACGTCTTCACTCCAGACGGGAACTGCAACCGGGAGGCCTTCGACGTCTACCTGGACATATGCGACGATGATGACTTTTGAGCCCAGCTCGGCCTCCGTGCCCAAATGCTGCCAGGCCTCAGGCCATTTGGGAGGTTGGCCTGCCACAGGACTGGGGTAAAACAGAACAAGGCATGCTGGGAACTCCGCTAGGCTCCCGAGGCATGCTGGGGTGACCTGATGAGTCGTTTCTCTCAACTCCCTCCGTGGAGGTCCTTTTAGGAAAATTCACTGCTACATTTGCCTCCCGCAGTGCCGGGGAGAGGCCTAGGAGGTCGATGTTTTTGGAGACACCGTTTCCGAGAGACTGTTCAGCCTGGAATTTCAGAAGTGGGAGGAGCGAGACTCTTTACGTTTGTTCCGTCTGGACGGTCTCAGCTGTTGGGAGACCAGAAGGGGTGTGTGTGTGTCTGTGTGTGTGTGGCAGGTGAGACCATTAAAGTAGAACTTCCACCCGCTGTGTCTTTGCCTTCTTGACTATCCGATCGGGAAAGTGTGGAGGGGAAAGAGGCCGACAGTCTGTTTCCTAGAGTGGCTGCTCAGGGAGGCTCTTGGGTCGCCCGCAAGCAGGTGGCAACAGCAGATGAGGCCGGGTGGCATATCGTCTCGAGGTGTTAGAGTCCCGCAGCAATCAGTTCCCAGCAACTCCCATTCAGAAGACTGAAGGTTATTGAGTACAGTGAAGGCAGGTCATCTGTGCATACATTCTGTGTTAGAACCAGGGCTATTTTGGGGCAGGAACGCACAGGAACGGAGTTCCGGCCGGCTCCCTAGTTGGCCACGCCCAGCAGGAACTCATTAGCATAATAGGCCACACCCAAGAGCAGAAACTCATTAGGATTGGCTACATTAGGGGTGTGTGGCCTAACATGCAAAGGAGTTCCTGCTACAAAAAAAGGCCTTGGGTTTTGACAACAAACAAGGTAAACAGAATAACAAGCAAAAGGTGGCCGTGGCTGGATTACCACACTTCTGGTAACACGTGGGTGCGGCCTAATGTGATAATGAGCTGTGCTGTCAGGGGTGTGGCGTAATATGCTAATGAGTTTCTGCTGTTGGGTGTGGCCTATTATGCTAATGAGTTCCTGCTGGCCTTTTTCTACAAAAAGAGCCCTGGTAGAACTGATTGCAAGCACATGCAATGGGGAGTTATACATAATTCAAAGGGGTACCCCCGATGGACCTGGGCCAATCAGGGAACAAGCAAAAGCCCGCCTAACTTAACAGGCCTACGGTCCCAGCGAAAGCAGCCACAAGGTGCCAAGGTCACCGGCCTAGACTAGAAGATAAGGTGAGTCAGGAAGAAATGAAAGTTAAGATTCCATTACAGCAACATTCCATCCGTCATGTTCCCCCCCCCCCCTCCACCAGCAATGGCAGCGCCTTCCCTGCCACGCGGCCAGTGTGGCGTAGTGGTAAAAGTGTCAGACTGGGATCTGGGAGACCCAGGTTTGAGCCCCCTCTCTGCCGTGGACGTTTGTCGGATGACCTTGGGCCGGTCACACACTCTCCACCAACGCTCCCTCTAAGCCGTGGAGTCTGGTGAGCAAAAGTTCTACTTTGTGAGCTACCGGCATTAAAGTTGTGAGCGAGCGATTTGGCTCCTGCATAAGTTAGTTTGCTCTGGAGCCGTCCCTTCCTGAGCAGAGACAAAAATGTGTGAGCTGGAGGCTAAAAAACTGTGAGCCAGCGCACACTCACTCAGCTTAGTAACTCAACTTAGAGGGAACACTAGTCCTTACCAATGCTCCCTCTGAGCTGTGGAGTCTTGTGAGCAAAAATTCTACCTTGTGAGCTACTGGCATTACAGTTGTGATCAACATTGCAAGTCTCAGCCTAACCTACCTCACAGGGTTGTGGTGAGGATAAAATAGGAGAGGAGAATGATGTCAGCCACATGGGGGACCCGTTAGGGAGAAAGGTGGGGTATGAATGAAGTAAATAATAAGCATGGCATCCTTTAGGCATCCTGGCTCAGAGCCATGTACAGCCCGTGAAGTCTAATCCCTTTTTAAACTCCACATTCAGAGGCAGTAAGTCTCTGGGTCCCAGAGCCAGGAGGCAACATCAGGGAAAAGCCTTGTGCTCTTGTGTCCTGTTGTTGGCCCTCCAGAGGAACTGGTCGGCCCCTGTGTGAGGCAGGATGCTGGACTAGATGGAGCACCGGTCTGATCTAGCAGGACTCTTGACCTTCTTATGAAGGCCTCGGCCTCTGTGCTTTGTTGTTGGCTCTCCAGAGAAACTGGCTGGCCCCTGTGTGAGATGGGAGGCTGGACTAGGTGGACCCTCCCTGGTCTGATCCAGCAGGGCTCTTCTGATGTTCTTATGAGGGGAAGGCCTCGGCCTCTCTGCCCTGTTGTCAGTCCTCCAGAGGAACTGGCTGGCCCCTGTGTGAGACGGGATGCTGGACTAGAGGGACCCTCACTGGTCTGACCCAGCAGGGCTCTTCTGATGTCCTTCTCAGGGGAGGCCTCAGCCTCTCTGCCCTGTTGCAGGCTCTCCGTAGAAACTCGTTGGCCACTGTGTGAGATAGGATGCTGGACTAGATGGACCACTGGTCTGATCCAACAGGGCTCTTCTTATGAACACCCTGGCCTCTATGCCGCCTTCTTGTCCCTCCAGACGAACCGGTTAGCTGCTGTGCAAGACAGGATGCTGGACTAGATGGACTAATGGTCTGGCCCAGCAGGGCTCTTCTTATGTTCTTAAAGCCACCCGAGCTATTGGCCATGTATCGCGATGCTATCTTCCCCAGCAGGGCACACCTCCCAGGCCCTGCACTGCCCAAGTGCAACCCTGGAGGCCTTGACAAGTGAGCTTCGCTTGCATAGCAGCAGAAGGAGACCTTGCACGGTGACTGGCAGAGACTGTGTAACATCAGCCCCACCCCACCCACCCCCGGCATTATGCTGCAGTTTCAGCAACTTGGCTGGAGAACCAGCCCTGAATGCAGAGGACAAAAAAGCCTCCCCGCTGTATGTAATCTTATAAATCTCTCCCTTTAATTTTTATTTGGTACTAAGCCAAGACTGACAAATAGACAGAGCCATCAGCACGTCTACGGTGGAGGTAGTGGTGGAAAGTACGGTCAAGTCCTAGCTGACTCATGGCGACCTTCATGAGGTTTTCCAGGAAGAGATGTTCAGAGGTGGTTTGCCATTGCCTGACTCTGGATTCCATTGGTGGCTTCCCGTCCAAGGACTAACCAGGGCCGACCCTGCATAGCTTCCGAGATCTGAGGAGATCAGGCTAAATGTTGGCCATCCAGGTCGGAGCAGAGACAAACAGGTGGCTTGCCATTACCTGCCTATGAGCCGTGACCCCGGACTTCCTTGACGGTCTCCCCTTCCAGTACTAACTAGGGCCAACCGTACTTAGCTTCCAAGAACTGACCAGACTGGGCTAGCGTAGGCCATCCAGGTCAGGTGGCTTCTTGCTATTGTCTGCCCCTGTGGAGCAACCGTAGACTTCTTCAGAGGATCCCAACCGAGAACTAACCAGGGCTGACCCCGCTTAGCTTCTGAGACCTGGGCCCTCTAGGTCAGGGCAGAGACGAACAGAGGTGGTTTAGCCCTTGCCTGCCTCTGCGTAGCAACCCTCATCTTCCCTACTGGTCTTCCATCCAAAGACTACCCAGGGCCGACCCTGCTTAGCTTCCGAGATTCGGCTAGCCTGTGCCCTCCAGGTCGAGGCAGAGACAAACAGAGGTGGTTTTGCCATTGCCTGCCTCTGCATAGCAACCCTGATCTTCCTTGGTGGTCTCCCATCCAAAGACTAACCAGGGCCAACCCTGCTTAACTTCCGAGATTGAGCTAGCCTGGGCCCTCCAGGTCTCTGCCTCGACCTGGTTTTGCCATTGCCTGCCTCTGCATAGCAACCCTGATCTTCCTTGGTGGTCTCCCATCCAAGGACCAACCAGGGCCGACCCTGCTTAGCTTCCGAGATCTGACAAGATTGGGCTAGCCTGGGCCCTCCAGGTCTCTGCCTCGACCTGGTTTTGCCATTGCCTGCCTCTGCATAGCAACCCTGATCTTCCTTGGTGGTCTCCCATCCAAGGACCAACCAGGGCCGACCCTGCTTAGCTTCCGAGATCTGACAAGATTGGGCTAGCCTGGGCCCTCCAGGTCTCTGCCTCGACCTGGTTTTGCCATTGCCTGCCTCTGCATAGCAACCCTGATCTTCCTTGGTGGTCTCCCATCCAAGGACCAACCAGGGCCGACCCTGCTTAGCTTCCGAGATCTGACAAGATTGGGCTAGCCTGGGCCCTCCAGGTCTCTGCCTCGACCTGGTTTTGCCATTGCCTGCCTCTGCATAGCAACCCTGATCTTCCTTGGTGGTCTCCCATCCAAGGACCAACCAGGGCCGACCCTGCTTAACTTCCGAGATTGAGCTAGCCTGGGCCCTCCAGGTCTCTGCCTCGACCTGGTTTTGCCATTGCCTGCCTCTGCATAGCAACCCTGATCTTCCTTGGTGGTCTCCCATCCAAAGACTAACCAGGGCTGACGAGATTCGGCTAGCCTGGGCCATCCAGGTGAGGGTTTAGCGCACCTAGAAACAGTATCATTTTGGCGCCACATTAAGGCTGATTTCGATAGTGCCGACATAATTAATAAAAAGACTGAACCAGCTTCTTCCTTGTTGAAGGCACAGAATTTGGCCACCGTAAGGGTGGTTTTGTTAGAACAGTCCGGGAGGAGGAGGGAAATAGAGAATTGAATAAGATTGGAGTTCTATGTAAAGACTGAATCTCTCTCATCTCCGTACCTCCGACGGAGTCCCCCCCCAAAAAAAAGTAGGGCCATTTTTAATTTCAGAGGGATAACCGTCTTCGTCTGTGGTAGCAAAAACAAAGAGGCTAGTCAAGGTTTTGGTTACCAGCCCCACCCCCCCGGCCACCGGCGAGGGATGGGTTTTTTTTTTAGGGTATCCAGCTCCAGGTTGGGAAATTCCTGGAGATTTGAGGGGCGGAGCCTGCGGAGGGCAGGGACCTCAGAGGGTCCAGTGCCACAGAGAGTCCACCCTCCAAAGCATCCATTTTCTCCATGAAGATCGATCCCGGTGGGTAGCTGTGTTGGGCTGAAGCAGCAGAACAACGTTCGAATCCAGTGGCACCTTTCAGATCAACCAAGTTTAATTTTGGGGATCAGCTTTGGTGTGCAGGCAGGCACACGTCTTCCGATAGATTCAGGTGGGTGGGTAGCCGTGTTGGTCTGCGGCAGCGGAACAAAGTTCGAGTCCAGCGGCACCTTTAAGGCCGACAAAGTTTAATTCTGGGTATATAAGCTTTTGTGTGCAGGCACACTTCTCCAGACACACTGTATCTGAAGAATACTGTATCTGAAGTGTGCGTGCGCAGAAAAGCTTACACCTTGAATAAAGCTCTGTTGGTCGTTTAAAAAAAAAAAAAATTATTATGAAAATATGCAAAAGATACACAAGAATATATATGAAAGGATGGAATATCCAACTAGAATTGACAGTACCATCATATTGCATTAAACAGTGCAGACAAAAAAATTTACTAATACTTATCACACTGGAGCTGCGGTGGCTCAAGTGGTTAAGACGCTGAACTGCAGGCTGTGGAAAGTCGGTAGTTCAGCAGTTCAAGACCCGAGTGCCGCATAACGGAGTGAGCTCCCGTCTCTAGTTCCAGCTCCTGCCAACCTAGCAGTTGGAAAGCAAGAAATTGCAAGTAGATAAAGAGGTACCACTTCAGTGGGAAGGTAACAGCGTTCCGTGCGCCTTGGTGTTTAGTCATGCCGGCCACACGACCACGGACAGCGCTGGCTCTTCGGCTTTGAAACGGAGATGAGCACCGCAACCCTAGAGTCGGACTCGACTGGCTTTCGAGCAAGGGAACCTTTACCTTTATCACACTTACAAGCTGTCTGAAGCATAACACAAAATCTCTTACCAGGCATTAGGGGAACTGTCGGTCCTGCTAGAAGTGCTCGTTATTATTTCTGTGAATTGCCACATTAGAGGTGTCCGGGGATCAGAATGCTCCCAAACAAGACGAATGCATGCACTGGACTGTAGCTTAACCACATTTGAGGAAAGCAAACCGCAACAAAGCAAGGTTCTTTTGGTTAATGGAGACCTTCACAAGGAATGGGGTTAAACGACAGAAACTGAGGACCCCCTTCTTAAAGGTGCCACACCGGGCTCCGACTCTGTTCATTTTCTCCAGGGGAACATAAGTCCAGGGGATCCCCAGGTCCCACCTGGAGGCTGGCATCGCCGGCGCCTGCTTCGTTTTTTTTTTTTCCTTGGGACTCGGTTTCCCATCTTTCCCTGCGACGGCGCATGGTGGGGACTGTAGTCCGCCCTCCTTCCCCATCAACCCCCCCCCCCCTCGCCCGAAGATGTCGGAGGTGCGGCTGCCTCCGGTGCGGCCGCTGGAGGATTTCTTGCTGGGCTCGTCGCGCTTGGCTCCGCCGGACCTGCGGGACCTGCAGCGGTGGCACAACCGGGTGCTCAACAACCTCCTCTACTACCAGAGCAATTACCTGCTCCTGCTGGGCGCCGGGCTGCTGCTGGGCGGGTGAGTCGGCGCGCCTCGGCTCGGCTCGGCTGGCGGTTGCTCAACAACCTCCTCTACTACCAGAGCAATTACCTGCTCCTGCTGGGCGCCGGGCTGCTGCTGGGCGGGTGAGTCGGCGCGCCTCGGCTCGGCTCGGCTGCCTGCCGCCTGCGCCACGGAGGCAGGGGACTGGGGCGGGGGCAGTCGGGGCGCCGTTCCGCCAAGAAGGGCTGGGCGGGCATTCGGGGGGATCCGGAATCGGGGCAAGGGAAAACCGGGGGGGTTGTTGTCTGGTGGGATCCATCTGTGG